ACGGCAATCAGATCCTTCAAATGCACCCCAAGGATGGGGAAGCGGAATCCTGAACATTCTGAGAAACTCTGACGATAGCGACTGTAGTTCCCAAAGGAGGTGACCAGCTCCACCAATCCTTCAAACACCTGATTAAACGCAGAGAACATCGGTTAGGATCAAGCCCGATGCAGCCCAAATATGAGGAAAGGGGATTTTAACAGTACATGGGTACAAGATATTTCTGCTCGTGTTTGGTTACCTGATAACAGAGCATTTGACTTGAGTATTGATATTTCTGTACAGAGAGTATGAAAATGGCACTCAGTCCACCTACTGAAAAGTGGACTTTAAGAATCTTATCTCTCATAGCCAGAGTTGATATATTTAATGAATATTTATTTATTTTCTTATAAAATTATACAAATAATTATATAAATATTTAAATGAAATAAAATAAATAATTACATTTCAAATATATGTATATTTTTTTTTACTTTACTTTCTATTCATCAAAAAATCCTGACAAAAAAAATCAGCATATTCAAATGATTTCTGAAGGACAATCCATCTACTGAAAAGTGGACTTTAAGAATCTTATCTCTCATAGCCAGAGTTGGAGTGTTACAGCTGGTTGTTTTTCTTGCCAGTATTGGAGGTGTGTTTACAAAGCAGCTCTCTGGCAGTCCTCACCTTGCGCGTCTCGCTGCCAATGAGCGCCTGCGTATCCTTGAGTCTAGCAATGGAGCTATTGCTGAGCCCACCCACTACAGCCATCAGTGTGTTGAAGTTCTGCAGCTGCAGTAGCCTCTGCACACACACACGGTACAAAACTATAAGACCAGACATTAAAGTAACCTTAAATAATTTTTATGATTTAATTATTTTATTTTTATCAGCATAATCACATCATAATTTAAGTGAAAGTTGAAATGAAAAGTTATGACTTTTAGAATCAGCACTCATGCAAGAACATCTGACCTTTCTAAAGAAAGAACATCTGGCCTTTTCTCATGTGAGCTTACATGATTGCTTATATGTATATATTTTTTATAATTTTATATATATATTTTTTTTAAATTTCAAAATCCTAAAACATTCTTTTTTTTCAGGTTTAAATTAGATTCTGAATTCCAGATCTTCAATGTGGTCTGAGACTTTTGGACCCTGCTGTAAACAGATTACATGTCTTTAAATATAAGCGAGCAAGCGAGTTGGATTAACCTGGGCCACTTTGATGAATTCACTGATGACAGTGGCTCTCTGCTGAGCTGTAGGCTTACTGAGAACCATGATCTGGATCCACTGGGAAACACTGTTAAACAGAGTAATGAAACGCTCCAGAATGGGATTATCCACCGTGCAGCCGTGCATCACGAAACTGTGGTAGTCCTGGAACTGAGGGGGAACAGATTTTTCATTTGTAGTATGAACTCAGACTTGAGGTCATGCTATTACAAGCACAAACACACGACTAATACTGCATTCATAAATTACGAGATTTACCAGAATTTTGCAAAACGATTTGTACTCCATATACGTTAGGTGTTCAGCCAGGGTGGAAGCGTCCAGGTGGTCAAAAAGAAGAGAGGTCTTGCGTTTCTTCTGGACGGTTTCATTCAGCTGACGTCGCCATTCATATGATGGACTACAGGCAAAACAAACAAGACATTGTATTTCTGTTCCTTGTCCAGTATGCCTAAATATCATATTCACTAATTTTGGATTATATTGATTTGTACTGATTTTTTATAGAAACAGATTAAATTTAACTTCAATAAAAAAGAATATCAAGTTTTATATATACTAACGGCATTAAAAAATTAATACAATATGTTAAATACACCTGTTTAAAAGGCTTTGAAATCATATGTATATGCTATCACATATCACATGCTATATTAGCATGATATTTATCTATTAAATAATGATTAAATTAAAAATAATATAAATATATATATATATTTACAGCTATATATATATATATATAAAATTTTTTTTAAATGTTTGTTAAAGAAGTTTCTTATGATCATCAAGGCTGCATTTATTTTATCAAAAATACAGAAAAAACTGTAATATTGTGAAATATTATTATAATTTAAAATAATGGTTCTATTTTAATATACTTTAAAATATAATTTATTCTGTGATGCAAAGCTAAAGCTGAATTTTCATCAGCCATTACTCCAGTCTTCAGTGTCACCAGATTCTTCAGAAATCATTCTAATATGACATTTTTTACATGTTATGTTATGTTGGAAACAGCTTTTGTGGCTTAATATTTTTTTGGAACCTGTGACTTTTTTCAGGATTCTTTGATGAATAAAACTTTAAAAAGAACAGCATTTATTCAAAGTAGAAATCTTTTCTAACAATATAAGTCTGTACTATCACTTTTTTATCAAATTAACACATCTCACTAGATGTACGTCTTTGAACTCTCCGCTTACATATCAAGTCGTTTGCAGCATCTCACTTTGACACTGCAATTGAAAAATGTGCCACTGAAGTCTCAAGACCTTGCATTTTATCCATTCTACTACCCTGCATCTCACATTTTTAAACGCAAAAACGTGTTCTGTTCAAATGGCCCCTAATGAAATTTGGAAGCTGTTAGCATAACACAGAACACATTTTTGTGTTTAAAAACGAGAAGCAGGACAGTGCAATGGAAAAACCACAAAAGTCTTGAGACACTTTATTCTCAACTTATTTTAACTTATGCAGCATGTTTTTAAATCACAGAGTCACAAGCAAGCTGTGAATGTCAATATCACTGATTGGGTGAACACATGCAGCATGCATGGTTTGACTTTTTGGACCATTAAACGGCCTTTTCCTTCTGGTTAACATGTTGCAGTCAGCGCACTGACATATAGCGCTGTTGTCCCGAGTTCGAGTCCCAGCTCGCAGACCTTTCCTGATCCTGTCCCCCCGCTCTCTCCCACTTCGCTTCCTGTCTACAATACTGTCCTATCCTAACAAAAGGCAAAAACGGCAAAAATAAAACTTAACAAATAAAAAAAAAAAGAAAACAAATTACAGCACGTACATTTTTTTGACTGCACTGTCCATTAATTTTTTATGAGGTAAGCGCTATCCAGTTAGAAACAGTTAGAAACTTAGGACTGCACAAGCTCATTGGCTGGTCCAGCCTGAAATAAAAGCTCTTTTAACCCTACACAACATTTATGAGAAAGTTCATGTTAGATGTTGTTGCTAATTTGAAATATTTTATTTAAAGGGATAGTTCACCCATGTTGGTAACCAAACAGTTGACAGTAGCCAAACAAACAACAACAACAAAAAAGGAAGTCAATGGCTACTGTCAACATTTGGTTACCAACATTCTTCCAAATTTCTTCTTTTGTGTTCAACAAAAGAAAGAAACTCATACAGGTTTGGAACGACATGAGCATACGTAGATTATGACAGAATTTGTATTTTTGGGTGAGCTATCCCTTTAAATGTGAGTGTGGCAGACAGTTTTTGAGATTTCAGGATTTCCCCATTCAGGTAGACAGGACTTGGATGGCCAAAATAGACTTTGAAAGGGACTTTGTTCTAATCTAAAACCTCATCGTTTCACACTGAGTTTCGTAACACAGGGTTAAAAGCAGTGCTAACCCCCTTGTGAAACACTGCTTTTAAAGCAGGGTTTAAAAATATGATAACCCAAGATTAAGAGTCGCATGGAAATCCCATTTAAAGCCCTTCAGAGGGGTAGAGTGATACTGGAATAGAAAAGGTATAGGTGCCACTCTATTAAAAAGTTTGTATATGATGATTTACGGCTGTATACTGTACTTCATTTCATGCACATATTAGTAATGGGTTTATATGAAATAGCCGAACATTGGGTGTCTTCAAGCTTTTAACCTTACAGTATATGCATAGTTATAATAATAATAATAATAAAACATTTAAATAAAAAAAGGTGAACAAATGGGTTTTTAACCTACTTGACAAGGTGACAAATTTGAGACTGGCGATTTGCAGAACAATCCTGTTCCTGAGACCTGTAATACTGTCAAGGTAGCTCCATTTCATTACTATTATCGACAGTTAGGAGAGTGATGGAAACAGTTTGTGATGCTGTCAGCCCTCTCTATAAATGACAAACCCCACCCATGACTGAATGTACTAAGTGCTGCTAAATGTCTAGCGTAAAAGCTGGCCTGTCACCTCCGAAACTAAATGTACAAAGACTTGTATTTCTTTTCTGGTATTTGACATTAATGCTAGTTTTTTGAAATACAGAGTTCTGAGAAAGTATAATGTGACAGGTCTGCTGAAGGAGGATACTTGTGCAGGAGTTTCTTAGCTAGGTCACTGGATAACAGGTACCAGGGATGCATGGTGAGAAACATTCGCACGAGCGACGGCTCCTTCAGAACGCCTTCATTGTCTGGAAGACAGAAAACCAGAGAGACATTTGCACATTAATCAACACAAATACATTATTTTTCATTTAATATACTAATAGAATGTTACTAGCTTGTAATTTTCTGTTCTCATAAAATTGTTTTTTATATCTATACAACATTTTTTAATGGCTTTGCAATGAAAGCATCATAACATATTATGTAAAAACATTTATATTTTACTAAATGCGCATTATTATAAGCCAGGCCTAATATACGACACTCAATTTTAAAGTAACAAGGGGCCCCTGCTCCATTTCTCTATCCACCAGGTGGTTGAATTGGATTGAAAAAAATTGAAGACCCCTGGGCAAAAGAAATTAACATGAGAAATGCTGAAGAGGTTCGAAGAATATTGAGAAATCGAAACATGTACATACAGGTACATCTCAATAAATTAGAATGTCGTGGAAAAGTTCATTTATTTCAGTAATTCAACTCAAATTGTGAAAATCGTGTATTAAATAAATTAAATGCACACAGACTGAAGTAGTTTAAGTCTTTGGTTCTTTTAATTGTGATGATTTTGGATCACATTTAACAAAAACCCACCAATTAACTATCTCAACAAATTAGAACAAGCCAGTGTTGTTCCGACTGGCTGATCAGAGTGTTTACACAAGAGAAGGAGGAAGCAAATATGACCACTGACCAAAGGCTTTGATGCAGGCTTCCACCAGCTCATCCACGCTGGCTGACTCACCCGATGAAACGCTCTCCATCCCTTTCTACTTCACTGTTCTCCACAGCCCCTCCTTTTCCCCCCCACTTAATTTTCCACTTCTCTCTTTGATCCCTCTCTTTTTCAGTCTGAAAACGAGACAACGCCATGCAAGGCAAAGGAAACAGAATCAATAAAGCAGAGAGTGGTTCAGATGTGAGAGGTGTCACTGGTTTTTCATTTTCATCAAAAGCAGACAAATCCTGGTCACACATGGATAATACAGTGGGACAAGACTCATCCAGAGAAAAACAAGGTGCATTAAAGAAAAAAAAAATCAAAGATCCATAGGAACTGTTCTCAAACGAGAGTAGAAGAAAAAAATAAGCCTTAGAAACATTTTCAAAGGAACTTACCCGTTGAATCTGGCATCAATGGACAAACAGTGATCACCGAAGGTCTTTGAAAACAGAAGTGCTAATGAACGCAGGGCTTCAGTATAGCCTCTCTACCCATGCACTGAAAACCACAGAGGGCCTCACTGGGGTTCACTCCGAGTACAGCTGCCTGTAGACTCAGTTTCCTGTCAGTTGAGAAACATACAGCTGTTGCATTTCCTGTTCATAATGTTTCGAGATGTTTTTTTTTTCACATCCACAACAAAAAGGGGTGGAGGACATGGGGTGAGAAAAAAATGTAAAAAGATAAAAAAAATTGTTTTGCAAAATTCAATGTTTTTATACTGGGTTCCTGTAACAAAATATCTAAACATCTAATGTCTAAAAATATCTAAAGACAAACTTAGTTGAGAACCAAAACTGCATTAGATATTAAGACATGTTTTCAGAGAACATACCTTGATTCATTTTTCTTACCCCATTGGCCCTTTCATTTAATGATTTATGCTTAAAACAAGAAATAATATATTATCAAGAAATACACACACATAACCAAGAAAAGTATAAATATATTATCTTAAAACAAATCATTATAGCTTATTATGATTTTTTATTTTCACAAGTAAATATAACTTTATTTATAAATAATAAACAAGATGCTGTATCTATCTATCTATCCATATATCCATCCATCCATCTATCTATCTATCTATCTATCTATCTAATAGAAAAATATTTTATAATTAATTAAAATAAAACATTCTATGAAATTTTGCCTAATTTATGATAACTGTGTATGTGACTTTGTTTGTTTTAATGGTAAATCAGAGCATCACAGGACTGTGCTTATAAAGCACGGACACAAATGTTTGACTATCAACAATGCACACTGCTGAGGGTGTGATCATTGTGAAATTGAACAGTTGTGTTGGCTCCCCTCAGCGGCCACATAGTGTCACACACTTTAATTTCTCAATCTGGCTATCACTGAAGCGTGAATTGATATTAAGACTGAAATGTCAAATAATCTGTTTTATTGAAAATAATTAAAAAAAAAATCTTTCATTTAATACATTTTGAAAGCATTGTTTCAAACAAAGTTAAAATCTCGAACCTGATGGAATAAAGAGAAACTGGTGTTATTTGACTTAAAATAAAATTTAATATATGTTTGTGATTATAAAAAATATTTATACTATTAAATATTTTTCTATTATTACCAATATTATGTTATCCTGCCTTATATTTATCTTGAATGTAAGTGCATTTCCATTAAATGTAGCCTAGTGTAAATATAGCAACTTAGGAAAACTCTATGACTAACTTATAGCCAAGATTCAAGTCTCAATTCATTGATTTATCTGGTTTTTAAAAAATTCTAGAAACTAAGGCAAATATGTCTATTAAGAACGGATTATTTATTTATTTATTGCTGTGTAGGGGGCTGATGGATCCTTTTTTTTTTTTTTTTTTAAAGCACATCTTATCAGGTTCTGCTCTAAAGGATTTGGTACTCCAGGAGGTCTGCAGAGAAAAAAAAACATATTACTATTTTCTTAAAAAAAAAAAACACGATATTTTTAGTAAAATGATTGAATGTTAAATGACCTGACACGCATTATATTTAATGTGCACAAAATGTGATTTGTTGGTCCCATGGTTTAGCTGAGAATCTGGGTTTGCAATTCTCTATGAAATAAACTGTTTTAATTATAATCATTATGATTTAAAAGTAAATTAATTTGAACAAGACTGAAAATTCATGTGTGGTGCTCAGCTGTTATAGAACTATGCAAACCGCATGCCGTTCAAATATCATGGCCTTTTAGTTGGGTCATTGCAGCTATTCATGTCTCGGGCTCGAGAGAGTTCTGGATTGTTGGAGTTGTAGTTCAACTTAAAATACGTGTATTTATAATTAATTTTCACTTCTACTGCACATATTTATCAATCGCGTAAAAAAGAAAACACCGTGTCCTCATTTTCAAAAAGCGTAGTTAACTTATTGAAAGCTTAATTAGTGGATGGCTGCGCGCGGATCCCGCCCACTAATTAATATTTATGAAGGGGACTTTAAATAAGTAGAGCCGTCAGCGTTATATGCGTGAGGTCTGGTGTTTATACACTTACCTGAACCCAAGACGAGACTGTTGTCACCATGTCTAAACCACTGTCAGACCACGACAGGAAAAAGCAGATTTCTGTGAGGGGGCTCGCCGGTGTGGAGAATGTGGCAGACCTAAAGAAAAACTTTAATCGCCATCTGCATTTCACGCTGGTGAAGGACAGGAACGTATCCACTAAACGGGATTATTACTTTGCGCTCGCGCACACAGTCAGAGACCACTTGGTAGGCAGATGGATCAGAACACAGCAAAGTTATTACGAGAAAGACCCCAAAGTAAGTTCATGCATGTTGAGGTGGCACCAAAACAAAAGCAAGTCCATGCATGACACGACTGCACCAAAACAAAATAAATTTTTATATGCAGTTAATAACTACACGAGTCAATGAAGCTCTAATAGCATTCGTTGCCATTTGTGCAATCGAAGAGGGTTGCAGTAGCGATGCCCTGCTTGACCACACAGCATTGTTGACATTTGTGACCCTTCTTCACTTGAGAGCTCTTCAGGCAGACTGAGATCAGCACCCTATGCAAAATATAAATAACCAGGATTCACTTATGGATCAAAAACAAAGCGCAATTTTAGCACATCTTTGATAGTATAATTTTTGCAATGATTTCAACTAGCATTAACATATAGATCTCAACTTTGGGAACATAATTATTTAAGATGATCAATAGCATGAGCTGTACATTACTAGAACAATAATGCATCTCCAGATTATTGTGCTCTGTCATGTGCATGCATAAAGCATCTTCAATCTTGATGCTGGTGATTTTTCATCTTTAAATAACAAAGCAACACTATTTTCGTTTTAACATCTATTTTATACTTGTACAATATTTAATCTGTTTCACAGCATATTTCATAGAAATGTAACTATAGAGGGACATTTGTTATATATTTTATAAATATTAAAATGACCAAGAGGCAGAAACAGTATAAAAAGAATGTGTCAGTATTCAGGGCATCAAAATCTGAGTCTGAAGATGGGAGATGAAACCACAGCTCAGCATCCCTAACCTTTTCCTCTCTAGTCCATTCCGAAATCCCTGCATTGAAGAGGTGTCTAGGATATAAAGGTCAAAAGTTGCTCCCTAAAAGAAAGGTCACTGTAGATACATATATGGGAGGGAGAAGTGACATGTAATTCAGCCTTATAATAAATCAGAGTTACATAAAGACTATACAAACCATTTTACAGGAAATATCATAACCAAAAATGACCTGGACTTCTTCGGAGCATTCCATTCTGATCCTTTTTCCCTAGGTGGACATCAGCAATAAACCTTGATTTGATCATTAAAAGCTCCAATGTGGCTCATGACTGTTTCCTTGAAAATGTGACTGCAGAAGTGATGCGAAAAACCGGTTCCATGAGTTTTGGATGCCATGAAAGTACTGGTGTGGGCAGAAGCGTGTGGTTTACCTGGACATTGCCATCTTTTTTATAGTTTAAACTGTTTTCAACATCTTGTACAACACATTGGTCTGCACTAAGACCTTCTTCATTAGCTGCTTTACAGAATAACATTACACACTCTGTAACCTTTGCTGGCGACCTCACTGCTGGTTGGTTATTTTTGCTGGAGTCAAAATGCCAGTGTTACATAACACCAGTGACCTTCCCCAATCTCTGACTAGCCTGTTTCAGCCCGTCGTGCCTCCACACACCCACTCTCACCTCCACTGTCTCTTTCTCTCTCTTGCTTTTCATACCCAACACCAAAGGAAGGCCTAAAATGTCAAAGGCTACAACAGGAATGGAATCAGATTGCCATGAGTAAATCATCCCTCTGCCAGAAAGTATTAAAATAGTTCTTAATAAAGCCTAAAAATAGTCCCCAGGCTGAGGGCGGTCTTTGGAGAGCTTGACTTGGTAACCCTAAATCAATATTTCGAAGTACCCAAGTAACCATTATGTAAACAATGTTGCTATATTTTAAGAGTATATGTTATAAAATAAAAAATAAAAAAGACTCTTGACTTATTCTGTCTTATCCTCCTGTATATTAGCGTGTTTATTACCTCTCCCTGGAGTTCTACATGGGCCGTACCTTGCAGAACACTATGGTGAACCTGGCACTGGAGAACGCTTGTGATGAAGCTGTATATCAGGTAAGATTACATTTACATTTAGACATTTAGCAGACGCTTTTATCCAAAGCGACTTACAAATGCGGACAATGGAAGCAATCAAAATCAACAAAAGAGCAATGATATGCAAGTGCTATAACAAGTCTCAGCTTAATGCAGTACACACAGCAAGGTTTTTTTTAAATCATAAAATAAATAAAAAAGAAAACAGATAGAATAGAAAAAGAATAGAGCAAGCTAGTGTTCGAGGTCTTTTTTTCTTTTCAGTTCAAGTGGCATATTAAAGACTGAAACCCCCTAGGGTAGAAAATATCTTCAAATTTACACACGATATCATTGATTCATTTTTGAATATGTGTCAAAAGCAGCGGACAGATCCAACAAGATAATTATTGAAGATTTGGAATCCGCTCTTGCCAGTCTTAGGGCCTGTCTAAATGCTGAGGGAAAAACACCAGTGTGAAGAGATGTGTTAATGATGTGAGTGAGTGCAGGTACAACTGCAGGAGAAATAGCTTGAAGAAGATGAGATGGAATAGGATCAAGCGTACAAGTAGTATGATGATTAGAAAAGATGAGTTTGGAGACTTCTGCCTCAGAGAGTGAAGAGAAGGATGTGAACGAGTGTATGTTTGCTGGTAAGATGTGCTTGACAGATTGTGGTGTGGAAAATTGTGCACTGAAGGTTTTAATTTTATGAATGAAGAATGTGGCAAAGTCATCAGCTGTTAGAGTTGATGAAGGAGGGGGAGGAGGAGGACAAAGGAGGGAGGAAAATGTTTTAAAGAGCATGCGAGAGTTAGACAAAGTGACAAAGTGTTCGAGCTAATAGCAGAGCAAGTGAGCTATCATGTCATTGATGCGGAAGCAGTTCAGTTCAGAGTAATGCAGTACACACAGCAAGGTTTTTTTTAAATCATAAAATAAATAAAAAAGAAAACAGATAGAATAGAAAAAGAATAGAGCAAGCTAGTGTTAGAGGCTTTTTTTTGCTTTTGTTAATCAGAAGTCAGAAGTCAGAATTATAATTGTATAATAAATAAAAATATAATTGTAGAATGCAAAAAGATTAGAGAAGCAAGCGTTAGTTTTTTTTTTAAACGAAAGGAGTTATTATATAGTTTTGAAGGAGTTATGGTTGATGGGCCTAACTAGATGGTGAAATTGTGATAAAATTATGGGTTTGATGGAGCCACAAGCAGTTCTGTCTTGGCAAGGTTGAGTTGAAGGTGATG